ATGTAGTGCATTTTGATTCCTTTTCAGTGCATGTTTTTTATCATGGGAGACATTATCTTAATATTGAATAAAAAAATTGAAGATTTTTTCCCGATTTTAATTTTATCTTCGACATTCATTCAAATTGTTCTCCCTGTGACTTGCGTATCGGGAGCTCCGCTTTTAGACAGTGCCTAAATATATTTTATATGTTTCATCTGCGCGTCTTGTTAAGAAATTCTTGGCTGCATATTAGCCGTGCCTTACCTGAGACTACTATCGATTCCATATCCTGACGTTTAGTATGTTTTTGAAATCAATGAATTATATTTTTCTACTTCAACCAATATAATGGAATCTGCTTATTTTGATAAATTCTACAACGGGAACAATAGTAAGAGCCCTTATGGGATCAAAGTTTACTGTTTAAAACATTTCCCATTTTATAGAGATGTCACGTCACGTCCTAGCTCATGTGTCAACACCACATTCTGTTGAGTTTGCTATATTCTACAAACCTACAAAGTTTCATGACAAGCAACTGACAAGATTCAATAGGTATTGATCATGATATGCATGATGTTCTATATCTTATACTATATTATTTATGTTACAGATTTAATATGGGAGCAATGCACAGATGATCTTTTTGAGACAGAAGTAAATGGAATGGTTCTGCTTAACCATTCGTTCCGCTTGCTTAAAGCAGAAATGCCGATTCTTTGTTTATTTGTATGTAAATCGAACAAAGACTGTGTTTCGTTCAATATTGCTCCTTCCAATGAAGCCGAAGGATGGTTTTCTTGTGAGCTTAATCAGGCCGACAGATATAGTTCCCCACAAGATTTCCAAGAAAGAAAAGGATTCTCGTACAGAGGAATAAAGGTTAGTTACAACTGGTCATTTTTACAAACTCTCTTGGTGAAATATCATAGAAAATCGCATCAGGGATTGGTGCTTTAAGAAGAGTTCGACCATTTATTTCTTTAGATACTGCATTAACAATGTATTTATGTATGCACGCATGTGTGTGTGTGTGAGAGTGTGTGTATGTATGTATGTATAGCATAATGATACATACATACATACATACTTTATTATCTTTCCCCATAAGGGCTTTTCAAAAACAATATATTACATTTAAAAAGTCAGCTAAATATCTAATTACTAATTTATAAAAATATTATTAATATTATTAAGAAAAAAACATATAATACAATATTTTACAGGGCCCAGCCGTTCAAAGCCCGATCAGCGCCAATCCCGGGTTAACTCTTAATAAGAACTATAGAGTTAATCCTGAATTAGCGCCAATCCAACCCCGAACAACCCGGCCCAGTAAAACAATAGTTATCTATAAATAATGAAGAAAGTATGAAGATATCAATAAATAAACTAATAAACTGGAGAGCTAATTATCTAAAAACTCCCGAAATAACTTAGATTTAAGCGACTGTTTGAAAATATTAACATTTCTGCACAGTTTAAGGGACGATTCGATAGAATTCCAGAGATTTACTGTTCTATAATAAAATGTTCAAAGATTACACAAAGATTTCACAAGTACCTGAGCTCTAACCTCATCACTTGGTTTGTGCACTACCCCCATATGCTGATCCTTACATTAAATTTTGAAACTTTCATGGTCAAAAATGATTATTCGTATGTGTATACGCATATCAAGAATAATTTAAGTCATTTAACTCAATCTCAACGCGTGCCAAAGTATATATTGCCACGAGCAATCCTGAAAGTTCCCCCTTTCGGTTTTCACGATGCATTTTACTAGTAAAATGTCTGTCAGTTCGTATTGATAACAGGATACTTTTTTGTCTATAGAATCCATGTTTGAATAACGGTGTTTGCGAAGGAAACAAGACTTGTACACGGCTAGGGTACGACCTAACGAAGCACACTTGTCTCTGCCCAAATGGATATTTTGGCCAGAGCTGTGAAAAGGGTAAGGAATAATCTATATTAGAAGTATTTTATATATCCATGCAATTCAAACGTTTATCAATCCGTGCATCCTCTTTCTCTCATTCCGTTAATTCAAACGACCGATTTATCCTTCCATCCATTATTCAAACATGCAACTCTCTCCCCTCTCTTCATCATCTATCGAGGCATGCATATAACAAACAACAGTTTTATGCACTTCTCTGCACAGAGATTTTTTCATATATTTTTTTCTCTTGTTTTTCAAGATATTGATGAATGTGCTAGCAATAATCTGCATAATTGCACACTTGAAAACCCAGGTGTCAAATGTAATAATACCCCTGGGTCTTTCAAGTGCATTTGTGCAGAAGGTTACGTCGGTGATGGAATCAACTGTGCAAGTAAGTATTATCTGATTTATCCATATATGAATCTACTTATCGATCTGTGTGCATGCATCCAACCATAAGTCCACCTGACCAAGCACCCTTCACTCTGTACACCCATCCATCCATCTCTTCCTTTATTCTTTGACTAATCTATMCATTTATTCAATCCCTCCATTTTTTCATCCATCATCCACTCATTCATTCATCCACCCATTATTGTTTATGTAGTTTTTTAATTCCACGTTATGACATTTTTGTGGAATATTAAAGTAATTGTAAATGTGTGATGATCCAACCAATTCATCGACTTTTTTCGTCTATCCATCATCTTTTTATCCTTGCACACATCCATTCCTCAATCCATCTATTCGTCCATTCATGTTGTGTTTAACTTTGATCCTCACAATTTTAACGGGGCTCTACTTTGGACAAATATAGAACAAATTACTTGAAAAAGCCTGAGGTATAAATTTTTCGTTTCTTTTCCCCCTCGACATTTGAAATTCAACAAAACGGCATGGAATTGATCTAATACCGTAGCAGTGTGTGGGTCCTTTACACGACCAATTAGATCTTGCTTAAGTGTAACTTTTGGTATGAGATGGTTAATATTTTCTTTTTATCTCCTTTAGAAATGGTCTCGTGGATCAAAATAAATGTAGATCCTGTGTGCCTTGGTGTTCCAAATGACGGCTATGGGACGGTTACTGTTCCTTTTGATGCAACAGTAAAACAGTTGAAGCTCGTTCATCTCTTGGGGGGAGTCTCCCAGACTAATGACCCTGTAACGGCCCGAAACTGGGGAGATAATAGTACACCACAGTCACTTCAGCTGGTAATAACTGACGAAAATAAGAATGTAATTGCACCTTATCCCGACTATCCCGGAGATCATTTTCTATTTTTCACCATTGACAACATAACTGTGTCAAGTCCCGAATTGATTTACCCTATTTCTGATCCTCCTTTGACAATTAAAAAAAATGCAAAACTCATGATCTGGTATATCGCAAAACTTTACGACATTGATAGTGGCAGTTACGTTAAAACATGTGCAGATTTATATATTCGTGTGTAAGATCGGTAGCGGTTTTAGACGATGTTAAGTAGTGTTTAAAAAACGAGTAGGAGTGTTTTATCAGGTATAAAAGCACGAGACGTAGCCGAGTGCTTTTATACCTGATAAAACACGATCTACGAGTTTTTTGAACTGCTTAAAACACTCATGAACAATTTATAAGATTTTGGTTCAACTGGAGCCACCATACACGTCACGAACATGGATTTTTATACTTCGATAGAGATTTGACGTCATGGGCATGCGCAACCAGATTCAATAGAAGCTCCCACACGTTGGATATTGCGTGCCAAGGCAAAGACAGGCACGTTAGTCAAAGATCATTAGGGTTGACTATGACCTTGATGAAGCTCTATGTCTTCATCTCAACTTGGATGCATACTTCATCCCTGATGAAGCCATCCTCATAGTATTCGAGTGGTCTTTATATAAAGACAAATGTGTCTTTATATAAAATCACTTGAATACTAATGAAGAGGACTCTATCGGGTATAAAGGTTCATGCACGTGACGTGTATGGTGGCTCCAATTGGACCATAAGCTTATGAATTATTAATGAGTGTTTTAAGCCTATATAAGATATAGAGTATGCTGGAAAATTTATCTCGCCAAAGCGAACTAAAAGCCTATGCACAATTTACAAATATTTGTATTCGATAAATATGATGGATGTTTCAGTGCAGAGCCCCAATGAAACCAGCTATGCCGAACTGGGCATCTCTGCTTAAATTTATTTAAAAAAAATAGATAATAATACAATAGATAGGACAAGTCATCTAATAATACTCAATATAATTTAAATTAAGTAACCATCTGATTTATTTACTCCATCATAATTTGTATAAGGTGTAATCGTGGTAAAAATAAAGTTGTTGTTGTTGTTGGAGTTAAGTCGGCTATTCCCTCCTGCCCCTCGGGATATTAAATATATTTAGACACTGCCTAAAAGCGGAGCTCCCGATACGCAAGTCACAGGGAGCCCAATTTGAATGAATGTGGAAGATGAAATTAAAATCGGGAAAAAATCTTCAATTTGTTTATTCAATATTAAGATAATGTCTCCCATAATAAAAAACAAAATGCACTATATCGTTTTCTTTGCGCGAGAATATTCTCCCATTTATATGAATTTTGTACGCAACTCACTACCAACCCCCTCCCAGGGGCTAGTTTTTTTCTTTGAAGATTCTTCGTCGACAAAGTTTTCCATTGCCGACATTTTTTAAGCTTTAAATTCCTGGTTAATTTTACTTATAAAACGAAAAAAAAAACTACAAATAATCCAATACAATATAAGGTTTAGTGAAATTTCCCTCGAATGTCTTTCATTGAAATCGAAATTTTGGAGATATCTGAACTTTTATGGACAAATCAAGACTATGAAACAGACTTGAAAACTGGTTTAAAAAAAGGTGAGCAACATACATAAAGTTACTTTTACTTCTTTTACACTAATAACGATGTTTGGTTAATTATCCACATCAAAAGTTTTATGTTTTTACAAGAACCGTATTTTCATTCATAAAGTCTTCACTATTTTTCTAGAAGCTTGAAAACATAAGCTTACTAGATTTTAAAAATTCAGTTTTACCTGAGTTTTCATCTTTTTTCTGATGCATTAATAAATTCAGTTGATCCCGAAAGAAGCGACTTACAACTTCAAACGAATTTGAGGTGCAAAAATAGTACTTCCAGCACTTCAAGTGACAGCAAAATTGAAAACTGAATTAAAACTACAGGCAAAAGGAAAGAGAAGGAAATTATTCAGACTCAAGGCATAAGGAGCTTGTCACCTAGCGGGTGCAAAAAAGAAACAACTAAAACAGCGACACGACGCCTGACTAAATACCGATTATCTTACAAAGACTACTAAAAGTAACGTCAAAAACGAATAAAAACTTCTTTGTATGAACGATATACATATTTTACATCTAATGCAAAGTCTTGAATTATATTTTACGGCTTTGAAAGCCGCTTCCATAACTGATTATTGAGACAGCAACCAACAAGACTTTTTCTTTATACATTGTACTTCAGACTTTAGATTTGCTTGTAATATTAAGAAGACAAGACGTCAACAAGACAGGTGAAAACAGAAGTTTTTGTAGAATTTTGAACTGCTCTAATTGGCTTTGCTTTACTTGTACTGTTAGTAGAAAGAATGAAATCCGACTGCAGTGAACCTACGGTTATGTTTTTAGTCAAGCTTCCATTATAAAATCACGATATTCTACAGATATTTTACCTATATTTTACCAATTACTTAAGACATTATAAATATCCTAGATATAGAGGTAGAAAGATTTTACTTGACCCGTGAAATTTAGAAAGAACTGAATACATAGAAGTAGACACAAATTCAATAGCGCAGCGCGCTGATTCTAAAAATAGCTTAAAGATTTGGACAAACATTGCATTCTGTTTCTTTTTTTCTTTTTTTTTTTTTTTTTTTTCACAGCTTTATTTGGGAAAACTAATATTAAAATGTATTGAATAGAGAAAAAAAACTAATAGTTACCCAGAAAGGAAAGTCACGAACGGGACACGAGACCCATGCAAGGTGACCACCTCATGGATTGTTGAAATAATTAAACATAAAAATATATGCAAAAAATATAACATTGTACGTAAAAATAAAAATAAGAATGGAAAAATAACTTCATTAAGATAAAACTAGTGTAYTTTATGARGTTAACCTCTATGACAKRGACATTCTCGARAAGCAGACCAGGTACAAGACCTGTCGATATCGAAAACAGAATCAAGTAAAGAAAAGTAACGTACTGAAATGTGTTTTTTGAAAGTAGCTATACTAGAAAAACATTTAGAAGGATAAGATTTACAAATGGAATTCCAAAGTTTAACGATGCGATTAAAATATGAGGCCTGAAAAGTATTAGAGTTACAGAAAGGAACCTTGAGCATCAATCTAGGATTAAGACAGTTACGYATATTACTATGCTTACTAAAGACGACAAAGTCACTAATGTTAAAGTCTTCTTTATAGAAGAATATTAAGTCTTTGACTTCCCTGTCGTAGCACAAGGGAAGCAGATGGAGAGCTTGCAGGCGTTCTTTAAAGTTGGTGTCACCTAATCTTGTCCTCAGAATCCATCTAGTTGCCCGCCTTTGGACGCGTTCGATTTTAGCCTTCAGCGCGACCTGGTGCGGCGACCAAACCACCGTAGCGTAGCAAAGCTTGGACTTGACCAAGGACAAATACAGGGTTTTGCGAACTTTGATGTCCGTTAACAAGGGACATGTTCTCTTCAGCAATCCTAACATCTTGTTGGCTTTGGCGATAATGAAGTGAATATGTGAGTCCCAGGAAAGATTATCTTTGACGATAATGCCAAGGTCTTTTTCTTCTTTGACACGGAGGAGCTTGGATAGGTTGAGATGATAATTATAATTGACTGGATTTTTCTTACGTGTAATTGACAACACCTTGCACTTAGTAGCGTTGAACCTGATATTGTTATCGCGGCTCCAGATTTCCAAGTTGGATAGGGTTTGTTGAAGATTTTGTTTAACCGCTACGAGGATTATGCGAACCGATTTTATCATTTTCACTTAAAGTTACAATAATAAACCATGTAAACTAAGATCAACTGCGATCGGCTGTGAAAATTATCTGCTGAAAGTAAACTTGTAAGTTTGTTTATCCGAATTTCGACTTTGTCTTTGTTTTTATGACGTCACGGTTGCGCTGCGCTATTGCTTTCTTTCGTTCTACTTTGCTTGATAGTCACTAGTTTAGTTTTAGTTTAGTGCGTTTACGACTTGGATGCCTGATAGGCATCTGCGGCCCAATTGATCTTTAACGTCCGCCTTATACAGGGTTTTAAGTCCTTGTCCGAGAAGACCCGAAGGTCTAGCCATTTGCAGATGTAATTACAAAGGCAGCACCTTCTCCTCAGTTATTTTAAGTTCGGCCGAGGCTCGAACCATGACCTCCCGCACAACAGTCCGACGCTCTTACCAACTGAGCTAACGGAATTTATTAATGCAAATATTAATTAATTGTATAACTTCGTTTCAAGGGTCATTTAAAACCTCTTTATCTTAGGAGTACACTCAAGTGCGTAAGCAGGGGGGACCCCACTCCCATCGTAGCAACAAAATGGCGGCTTTTCTATTTTATACGGTAATTTTATTTCTTGTTGTTGTTGTTGTTGTTGTTGTTGTTGTAAAAGAGTCAACTGTTATGTCGGTTTTTCATAGAGTGGTTTTCATTAACCCGTGAAACAAAAGTTACTCATTAGATAGTATTAATAGCCAGATTCAAACAATAGAAAACAAAGGAGTTAGAGCGTAATAATAATAAATACGTTAAAATGTAGTTCACAGGCCTTAAGAAAATCACTTTATTTGCCCCACCCCTTCCTTCGGAAAATCCTGGCTACGTCCCTGACACTAGAGTGATTTTACTTAAGCCGTAAAACGACGTTCTGTAGTTTGTGAGTAACACAATGGAATTAATAGTGTCTACTACTATGTATTAAGCTTGCTAATTTTTTTTTCGCGGGTTATTTAAGGTGGCTGCTTACTTATGAACGTTCGATTTGAGCCTTCGATGTGCACGCGCTCAAAAACCGCTAAAAAATCTACAAGAATTTATTGAAGAACCATACGCGTTTCGAGCTTCAACAAGGCAAAACCCTTAAAATTTTACACGGGATTCTCTATTTCATAATGGATTATTTGAATAAACTCCTAAAAATCAAGGTTATAGCAACATTTTAGAAAAAGTTGAATATTCTAACAAATGAAAAATATATTTTTGTGGGGAATTTTGTTAGACTTTATCAGACTTTTTAAGAGCACCGAAACTAGAAAATATGACAAATCAATGCATCTCTTTGTCTTTTCGTCGAAAATATCCATGTATTATCGTAGAATGATTGACTAGCCTTCATTCGTGCAATCACAGAGTCTGCAAATAACGATTATCTTATGAATCTTGATTTTTTTCTGATCACTTCCGGTGGTCAATTTTTGCTCCAAAAGCTCGCGCGTAGGCTTCCATTAAATGCTGATTATCTCGAAAAAAAGCTTGGGACACCCAATTTTTCTTTCCAGATTTAGAATCAGAATTAATTTTCAATTCGAAAAATCGAAGTTTAAAAAAAAATTAATATTTTTTTCAAAAGTAGGGAGTCACATTATAACCAATTTAGCAGGTTGTACTCGTCGCACATAGAGTGCTCGCAAATACATCTGTCAAATAATTCTAGCCATTAACGCTTAAAAGTATTTAGTCATCAATTATTTAATTACGTTGTCGAATACACTTAGACATGGATCAAAAAAGACGCATAGAGGTAGTTTCTTTTGTTCCCAATTTTCTGCTCGGCCACTGACATCCGACACTAGAGAAAAATGTTTCCGTATGCGTGCCTTTCAGCAGGTATATATGCTATAAATATTCTTACGATATACAATGCCACATAACTTCCTTTGCAATACAGTACAAGCACATTGTAATACAGTACAAGCACATTGGCCTGGTTGTTTTAGACTGACGCGAGTCGGACTTTCTACATTACTTGGGCTTCCTGTGATTTTACTTGGCCCGTGAAAAGAAGTAAAAATTTAGGGTTCAGTAAAACTGGAAATAACAGTTTTATTCAGTGTTCATCAATGTTGATAATATTAAATGCACTAAGAAGTTGCATTGAATATCTTAGGCTTGGATCAGTGTTTTTACATACATGACTATAGAAACTACAATTAACATTATTAACTTTATCCTTCGTTTGCACGTAACGTCATCGCGGCCATGTTTGTACCATTTAACAAAATATTTTTCATTAACCACAAGGGCCACCATGTTTTTGTCTTTTAACTCTTCTGGGAATGCTTGCAACCCATCAATACACAAACTAGAATGATTTTACTTGTTCAAATATGAAACAACATTTAACAATTATTCGCCGAAGGCGAAGTGAATATCGGGGAATAATAACCGAAACGAAGTTGAGGTTATTATTCCCGATATTCACTGAGGCTGAGGTGAATAATTGTTTTAGTATAAATACACAGGTGATTCTTTCAAAAAAAAGGAGAAAATAAGAAGATAAAAGCAGATTTAAAATTACGTAGCAGCGACAAAGCGGCTGGCCGCCATTTTGGAATATCGGTCATTTCCCATTCCCCAGTCACGTCCTTTTTACAAGTACCAATATTTTGGTTTGTTTTTCACTTTCCTTTGTTTTCGGTTGGTAGAAGTAAAATTGTTTAAATTTACGACTCCTATTCATCGATTCAACGTTACGTCATCGCGGCCTATCGGGAGAGCGTTGGTGCCATTTAACAAAAGATTTCTCATTAGCATCCATTGTTAACGGCACCACAATGGCCGCCATGCTTTTGTCTTTTAACTGTATTGGGAATGCTTGAAACCCATCAATACATTTTTTCAACACTCATTCCTGCATGATCCCAAAGGAAGTTTTCTACATTATTAATGATTCCATATTACACCTACTTGCAAGAAGGTTGTCATACAAGAATGGAACATTCGTAATTTAGTGAGAAAGGAATTCATTAAAAGACAAAAGAAAAAGTTCAGCGTCAGTGATCTTCTTTTGTTTTTTTAATATAATTCCTATCCCACTAAATCACTAATGTTCTATTTTCGTATGACAACGTTCTTACAAGTAGGGGCTATCAAAACAGATATTCAAGATTCTTAAATTTCCATAAAGATTCGTGATTCATTATTCGTTATTCATTTGGAAGACGTGATTCAGGTACCGAGAAACACTCGGCATCAATGAAATTTAATATAGCCACTCTTCCATCGACAACATCGTCATGACGCCTTGATAAATGTCGAAAGTTTGAACTAACGCCTGACGTCGAACCGCAGTTCAGTGTTTGAGGGCTAGCAAGAGCGTCTTACAAGAGGTCTCTAATGTATTTAACTTTGCAGCGAGCTACTTGGTCTCAGATTTCAGATTTCAGGTCTCCGACAGACAATATTTTTAGGTGTATAAACCAACCATCGAATATGTTTAAGCATAATAACCTAATTCTCGACTTTTACAGACAGACAGACAGACAGACAGACATACAGACATATTTTATTTGGCGTTTTGTACAAAGTTGCACATCAACTTACATCCTCATAATGCCTTGCCTTTGGGGGGGGGGGG